AGTCCAGATATAAGTATACACATTGACAATTCCATTTACAGAACAAGCAAAACTAATCTATGGTGACAGAAATCAGAACAGCAGTCACCTGGGGGGGGGGATGGAAAGGATAGACCAGAAAAATGTTTCAAATGTAGGTTCCATTATTCAGGTAAAGTGAGGCCAACAGATCAGAATGTGGCTACGACTGAAAAGCTGATTTATTGTTCACAGTTTCCCAAAAAGGAGGCCTTCCATGCAATGTAGGGCCACATAAAGAAGAGAAGTCCACAGTTCAGCCAGAAAAGGCCAGAGGAAAATGTGGGCAAGATTCTCTATTTCGGTTTCTATGTGAGGCAGGGTAACAAGCTTAGGATGGGCTAGTTGGAATAGCTTTAGTACACTGTGGGTACAGGGGCTGTCCTAAGTTGTATGGAACCTGATGTGTGATGATGAGGGCAGAGGAATATTGGCCTGGAGTGTAAAGGCCCCAAACAGGAGGGGAGGGAACATAGACTCTGGACTGGTTAGTTTGCATATGGAAGATAAGCTCCCAGGTGAGTAATTTACTATCTCTAAGAAGTGGCTAACCATGGGAGGGGCTATGTCTCCATGGTTAGAAAGGTACCAGATATCAAAACATCAGAATAAAGACATGTTTAATATACAAAGAAATATCTCAATATGAGGGAAATGTTGTGGTTTAGAGAGGCCTATGCATTTGTTTACCTCCTGACCAACCCAATGCTTCCCCATAAGGCCCTGCATGGCATGTTGTGTTACTTCCTCATTGAGACTATATGAAACCAACTTTTCAAAATTCATCAAACCATACATTTTTGATGTTAATTTCATTGTGTGTTAATTATTTTATAATATTTTAAAACTACAGGGAAAAAAATACAGGGAGGGAAAGTTTAAAATTTTTTGAAGGATGTTTATATTGGCCCAAAGAAATGCAATTACAGGCTCTAGGAACTTCAGGTACTCTTGACTTTCCTTTTATCTTTTTGTATGGAAATAGCAATAGGTGACAATGGATCAAAGGATGTGCCTTGTCTGTTATCTTCCAAGGAAGCCAATTCAATCTGAGTTAACTTTTCTCCAGTTAGGAGTGATTCCGAGAGGCTGAAAGGGAACTGGGCTAAAGGGATATTGGTCCAGACTCCAAGTACTTGGATCTCTCCTCTGTACAAAGGAGCCTCAAGTAAACAAGAGCTCATGGGGGAACCCTCTGAGAGCTCCCTGTTCTACCTTCCTGGAATTTTAAGGCTCAACCAGACTTGGAAAAGCCTTGATTTGTGTCATGCCATGGCAAAGCTCACTTTCACTTTAAGTAAGTAGCCATCCAGAAAATGACTAAAGCAGCAAGGCTGACTCACAGCCGCACACAAAAAATGATGGCATCCCTGGGAGAAGCACATGCCCTGGAGAGAACAGCACAGCACATTTACCTACTTTTGAATATATGACAAAGGCGATTTCACCAAGACTGTCAGAATTGGTTAGCTAATGTTTATTCATCTGTTCTAATAACGACAATGGGGGTGTTGGAGTGTTTTAAAAAGAAAATCCCAAATGCAGATATTCAAAAACAGTGGCCAGAATCATTATTTCGTGATATTATTAATAAATGTGCTACCCTATTGTGCTTAAAAACTTAAATAAAAAGATAAAACCATATGTAAAGTAGTTGATTTGGAAGAGGAGGAAGGGAAATAAACTAGAAGCAACCTGTTAAGATTCACAGGAATAGGTAGAGGATTAAGAACAGGGAAAGGGGGGGAAAATTAGAGATGATTTGTTTACTTTCTGTTATCTGCCAAGCAAATCTCCAAAGGGAAAGAGGAGAGGTGCTTGCCACAGCTTTTCTTTATGGGAAACAAAGAGCTTTAGTCCTTCAAATAATGCCATAGAGGCAAATACTCCAAAGCATTAATCTATTATTAGATCAGTGATTCTTAGATTTTAATGTTCATAGAAGATCAAATTAAAAAAATAAAACTAACATAAAACTTTGAAGGACTAGTAAAAGATTCCCAGCATTAGATCTGCATAAGAAATATAAGTTTTAAAAAGTGTCCTCTCCTAATATCACTTCATTATAACCATCTACTAATACCACCATTTTAATATCAAATAAATTAGGAAGAATATAATCTTATGACATAAATTTTATTTAGGCAACTTTAAAATACTAATTGTATTATATTTTCCTCTTTTGCTGCAGATCCGTGATATCTAAGCAAGATATGTGACTGAAGCCCTTAGGGACCAGACTAGTCTATCTGCCATCCCATCTCATTAAGCCTCAAACCCCACATCTTCCTACTGATCTTTTCCAGACAGTAGGGGCCATTCAGCATAGAACTTGGTCCATCTCTTCCTACAGTATGGTCCCATCAAAAACCTCATCTGTACCCACATCTCCATTTTCAGTGGAAGAGGTGTTCTTCTGTCCGTTTCTGGATTCCATAGCCTTCTGTCATATTAGGGACACTAAACCCATCACCAACAACCCTCCCCCTTTACCAACAGTGGTGGAGTAAACTCTTTGACATCCTTCCCACTAAGAGGTTGGGTCTATATCTCCTCCCCTTAGACCTGCGTGGGCTCTGTGACTGCTGGATGAATAGCATATGGAAGAAGTGGCTTTGGGCCCATTTGGGGGGACCAGGCCTTAAAAGAGTGGCAGCTTCCACTTTCCATCTCTTAGAATGTTATCTCCAAGAACCCTGAGCTGCCAGGTCAGAAGGCTGACAACCCTGGAACTACCATGCGGAGAGGCCCCAACTGAGTTCAGTCTTCCATCTAGCTCTGCATTGATGGCATTGGATACTCATAACTGGACCATTCAAAGCCAGAAACTTACCAAATGACCTCAGTTAATGTTACAGAGACAGAATTGCCTGACTGGGCCCTGCTCAAATGCTGACCCACAAAACCAAAAGATAGGTTAAAATGAATGGTGTCAGTACATTTTGACTTAACTTTTAATGCAGCCACAGATTATCAGAACATGAGTATCTTCAAGACCTTCTCTTTCTCTCTCCCTTCAAGCTGTCTTTGTGTGTAATATACACATAACCATACTGAAGACTGGCCTGGACTTATAAAAACCTCTCACTTTACCCTAAGTTCCCTCATAGATTCATTTTTTTCCTTCCTTTCATCTATGTTTCCACCTTTCACTTCTCATCTTTCCGGAGTGGTGTTTCTTCCCTAACACCATGCTGGTGAAATTATTTTTAACAAGACCAATGATGTTTAAGCTTTGCTAAATACAAGTAATCAGGGCTGGGAATATAACTCACTGGAAGGGCACTGGCCCGA